AATTGTTAAATTTGGACCACTGGGTGGCGAGTTATGTAGGTGTTTATAAAAATCGCTTAAATGAAATTATCTTGTGAACCAGTGATCAAAACTCAATGATTTTGGTACCATTCGATCTGTCTCATTGAGACGAATCGAATGGTACCAAAATTGCCGAGTTTCGATCACTAGTTCACGAGATATCGTAAAATTTGTCATTTTTTAGCAGAGTAGCAGATTTTTGCAGATCTGCACCATATTTATTTTCCCGATGGAGGTGAAAAGGGATAATCGAAGTGAACAAGTAAAAAATATTTTAAATATAAAAATTTATTATAACTAGTCAGTCCAAATTAGAATAAATTGGCTACTGAGTTAAACTTTCGATTCACACTCTCAGCATTTTAATTTAAAGATTTCATTCTCTATGTAAAGCACCCAGCTGAAGACTATAGAAATTCTATTAATCATGAGCAGCTCTTCTTTAAAGTTCTAAGCTGCATACCATTAATGAGAAACGTATGCATCTGAATTTCTGACTATTTTATAAACTTTTCTGGCTAGGTATTTTGAGGTTTTTTAATGGTGATTATCAGGTTATGAAAAAATCATTGGCATAATATTAATTATATAGAGATTTATATCAAATATTCTAATTTATATTTGATAATTTACTGTATATGCATTGGTGCTGTCATGAATTGATATTAAGTTTTAACTTCAATGACCTAATTACAAAATACCTGAGAGCGTGACTTTTAGTGTGTCATCACTAAATAAAGAAGATTCTGACCAAATTTTTCTATGCCATAATTCTGAACTATCTTCTTCTTCAATACCAGGACCAAAATACATTCTTGAGAAAAGTTTAGAATTTTTAAGAATTTGTTGTATGTGATCGATGATTGATAATGTATATGCATTCTTGATTAATAATAATATGGATGGTGATTTACGAATATTTATTTGAACTTTGTGCTAATGAATTGGAAGGCTAGATAGCCTTAAGCAATATCATTTTAATGATTATATATTTTGGATATCTCAAGAGGGTTAAATTGATCATGTAACATAATAGCCACAAGTTTCTGATAGGCTGCGGTTGCTAGTGATTTAGTTAGCAAAAATAAATATATAGCAAAAAAATAAAAAAAAAATTTTACTTACAAATAGAATGTTTTATCACCCAAATAAAAAAAGATATTTCGGTAAAGTTCGCAAAATATGGGTTAGACTTATTTTTAAGGTGTTCTGAAAGCCAACTTATCGGTTCTTCTAATATATCACTAGATTCTTCCTCTTTAAATATATTATCAGATTTTTTCTTTTCAAATGTATTATCAGATTCTTCCTCTTCAAATATATTGTCAGATTCACCAAATATGCTGCTGAATTCTTTTTCATATTCTTCTTCAATTATATCACAAGATTCTTCCTCTTCTGATACATTACTGGATTCATTGCCTTCTGTTGGTTATTTTGGTTATCGTCACTCTTCTAATAATTGTTGTCCTCCTAGTGATCATTGTGATTGTTATGGGCTGGAAGATGCTGGCTTCTAATATTTTCATTTAGAAAATAAGCTTTATCTTTACCAAAAGTATTACTAAATGACATTGAGACGTTTTTGAGCATAAATGTTAAGGAGTCTTGTGATGAATTTTGGCTTGTTACATTATCTACATCATCAATATTAAAAAAATCCTGATATGATCTATATTTGCGAAGCTTTAAAAGTGGACTGTCAGTATTTCGGTTTCTGTTTCATGTATGTAAGGTAAGAATTTGTACTTTAGATATATTTAGGAAAAGAATGTGGTTTTTTTTTTCATTATTCACTTTTATTTAATTAATCATATGATAAAAAATACAATACATATTTTATTAGTTATTGAGTTACGTACGTACATATGTACGTACATATATATTTAAGTTATTTTGATACTTAACATGATCTTGACTAATCGATTGTATTACAATCAACATAATAAATCAAACTTGTAAATAACTTGAATTCAATTAACAATAGTGCTTAATTAATAATACAATTTAACAGTTACTATAAATGGCTATATAAGAAATGCAAATGTGTATTTCAAATTTTTACTTGCAAGTCGATTATAATTGGTTTAGAAACTAAGTACATCTTGATTCTAATCCTTATTCTAGAGGCCAGGTAGTTTTTAAATTGATTACCAACAAATTTATAAATTAAAATCATGTGGTGTATATAAATACCTTCTAATAAAAATAATTGATTTTTTTCAAACTGAGATAAGTAGAAAATCATAGTTCTTTGAAGATTAAAAAAAAAAAAAAAAAAAATCATAGTAATTTTTTTTTCAGAAAAATAAAGTCTGTCATAACAGGTCAATTTTAATATAATGACCTTACTACAATTTCAATATGCGTAATAATGTAGATTTATACCTAAGATAAATTGATTATTAGTAAGAGTTGACTTTTCACTAATAGAAAATAATAAAGAAAATACATATTTCACTAACATAGTAGGTGCGAAAATTGTCAAGTAAAATTATAAAAAATTCACAAGAAAGAAATAATAAAGGAAATTTAAGTTCCTCATAAAGTATTTTTTATATATTATATGTATATATGTACAAATCATACTATATTAGCATGGTTTTAAAACAAAAATGCAAAATAGAAGTCTAAATAGTAAAACTAAAAAGGCTATTTAGAACAAGCAAGGTACATACGTATATACATATGCATACATTTTATCAAAAATATATATTAATAAAAGAGTTTAGATGGAATTCAAAACTAGTTTACAGATACTGAATGTAGGTTTAAATGACTTTTGAGCAAAGAAAGGTATATATAAATCAAAATATAGTTATGAATATTTTACAAAATCCATTGTACATTACTCCAATTCTTTCTGGCCAAAATAGATCTGAAGTTGGCAGTCTATTATTAACGGGTACTGAACATAGATCTAAATGATTTATTGACAAAGAAAGGTATAATTGAATAAGTGAATTTAAACTCACAAAAAATAATCTAATTATTGTCAATTCTTTCTGGTCAAAATAGATCTGTAGTTGGCAACCCAACAGTTGTAATTAGTCAATACCAGTCTACGAATACTGAACGTAGATCTAAACGACCCATTAACAGAGAAAGGTAAACGAATTAAACCTGCGCAAAAAAAAAAAATAAAATAAATAACTATAATATTATCAATCAATTCCTTCTATCAAAAAGTTCTGAAGTTGGTAACCCTTATCCAAAATTAATCAAACTACAGATACCAAATATAGACCTAATAAAAGAGTTGAAAGATATATTTAAATATGCGAGTTTAAACCTATACACACAAAAAAAACTAAATTATTATCAATTCTTTCTGGCCAAATAGATTTGAAGATTACAGCCTGTCACTTGAATTAAGTCAAAATCAGTCTACAGCTACTGAACATGGATCTAAACAGCCTATTGACAGAGAAAGATATAATTGAATATGCGAGTTTAAACCTACACATACAAAAAAAAACTAAATTATTATCAATTCTTTCTGGCCAAATAGATCTGAAGATTACAGCCCATCACTTGAATTAAGTCAAAATCAGTCTATGGCTACTGAACATAGATCTAAATGACTTATTAACGAAAAAAGGTATAATCGAATAAGCAAATTCAAACCCACACACACAAAAAAAAACTAAATTATTGTCTGGTCAAAATAGATCTCAAAATCAGTCTACGAGTACTGAATATGGATCTAAACAACCCATCGGCAGAGAAAAGTATAATTGAATAAGCAAATTAAATCCACACAAACACAAAAAAAAAATAAGTTAATATTAATCAATTCTTTCTTGTCAAAAGTTCTGAAGTTGGTAGCCTTTCATTCAAAATTAGTCAAATCCAATCTATGGGTACCACATAAAAAGCATAAATTAATATACAGTATATGTATGAAGTCAAAATATAGCTACGGTTGTTTTACAAAGTCCATTGAGCACCACTCTGGCTCTTTCTGATCAAAATGGTTCTGAAGTTTGCAGTCCTTTATCTAAAATCAGCCGACAGGACCGTGAAGATAGTATTCAAGTAGCTAACTCGAAATCTAATGATAACATTTCTGATAGACCACAATTTCAATCTACAACCGATACTACTTCTTTCTCACAAATACATAAATTTGAGTCTCATAAAACAAACTTTGACTTATATAAGGAACAACTTCTGAGCTGTACAAATACATTTTTGGATGATGATGATGATGCTGAATCTACTTCGCATAAGAATTATTTTATTCTTTTTATTATCTAATATTAATTTTATTTCATTTTAAATCTTTAATATTAGCTTTTAGCTTGCGTGATATATTCTGTCAAGATATAACAGTATTTGAGATTGCAACATTTGTTGCAGAACATCCTGAGATTCTTACGATAGCTAATTTGATACATAAAAGTATATAAACAAATTGGAATCAATCTTCCACATCTAAAGAACCTATATTTAGAGAATAATCAACTCCATTATTAAATCAAGATAAAGAACTATCAATCAGGGAATCAACTTTAAAGGTATACATTTATATATTTTTATAAAATGTTATTTATTTTTGTCAAAGCTTATCATCTTTCATTTAGGTGAGGCTTCAAATATGGCTTGAAGAATTAAAATACCTATTTCTTTAAATGCAGAATCTATCGCAAGCAGCATTCGATCACTTAGTAACTACAGTATTACCAAGTTTCAAACTCGCAGATGAAGATTTCTAATAGCTTCTTGAGAAATCTAAATTAATATTTAACGAATTTTATTACACTTTTAATAAAGATCTCAAGATACTTGCCAAAAGCTATATTAATAATTATAGATACGTGTGTATAATACTTTTCATAACGATAGATTTGGTAGAAATTGACTTTTATTTAAGTTTCAAATTTAACTAAATAAAGCTAATTGTTAAAGTTCTTCGTATAAATTAAAATATTAAATAGAAACCTACTTTATAAACTTAGCTTATCTTAAATAAAGATCAATCTACCAAACTGTTATCATATATCATACCACTTATTTGGCTGTATATTAACATTTATTTATTACAGCAATGAAGATACAAATTATTTAGATGAAAGTGCATTAAACGCATATATTGATCACGATGTTTTGACAAAAATTCTGCAAAAGTATCTCTCAAATACTAGAGAATCAGAACTTGCAGATAAGACACAAGGTGCATTAATAAAATTCATCTGAGCAGTGTTCAAATTACATATCATTTATATTTATAAAGAAACCAATCGTGAGTTCACTTCATACAAACAAGTTCTAGAAGATGTCAAAATATGGACCAAATTACTATATCACTTGACATTCCAACATGGGGAAAAATAAATATATTAAGATTATATTTTGTAAAATATGATTCAGATAAACTGTTTTAGATCAAACATTAATATTTCTATATTAGTATATGAAAAAGGTCTAAAATTCTTTGTACATACAAGATTGCACATTTTGATTGATTATAATAATATCTGTTAATTGGATTACTTATACTAAGTTACAAGAATAACTTCGAGATGTTAAACTTTAAGCAATAATTCAAATCATGTAATACAACTTGAATTAATAAATTTTAATCGCAATATGCTGATAATTTGTAAGAAAATTTCTCTTAGTGCAATCAATTTAACAAGATGTTATTTATAAAATTCTAAAGTGCTTTTCAAAAAATAAGATATGCCTGCAAAATTAATTAAAAATAATCAAGGCCTTAAAAAAGGTCATTTTAAACTATATAAATAACTCAGAATTGGATTGAAGCCTCCTTCTGTATATTAGTTATATAGAATAATGGAACAAAGAGTGGAAGATAATTAAAAGGCGAAATAACAATCTTTTAAAATATCAAGTAATGATTCATAGAAATGACTTCGTGTGAGGCAAACTAGTATATATAAGTGCACTGAGAGAAAACCTGTCATCGGGTTTTCAATTATATTTGGTCCCAGACATAATCTATTTATTAATTTATTAGAGAACATGTCCAGTACAAAATATTATTGAAAGCCTGATGACAAGTTTTCCTTTACATATTACCAGAAAAACTATTACCAAAAAATTCTTTAAGGTAAATCAATTGATTATTTATTAAGGTATCATCTATACTTTTTATCCAAAATTAGAACTATATATATTGTAACCATTCCTAATCTGGGATAGATAGAATGTAAAGATTGTACTATGTATTAGCTATTGCAATGTTTGTGAACTATGCTTTTTTGAATATTCACTTTTTACACATTATTTTAATATCATTTGAATTATCTTAATAAGATGATTCAAATATATTATTTATTTTTATCATTATTAAAAATATTCAAAAGCATGATTTGCAGGTTTTTTCTTCTCGTCACCCAAATAGTGTATTTCTCAAACACCTCACCTAATAAATTGAAAGAAAAAATTTTAATTGGTTGAAAATTAAAAACTGATTAAGTAAGCTATGATTTTGATTGGCAAATAAGTGCTACAGAATGAAAACCTGGAAGTGAATATTTAAGTTTTCACTGTGGCGAACTTAACCCTGAAACATTATGATATTATGTATTGGTATTGATAATCGATGTCTGATTTTTCATTTATACCAAGAATCTAGAATCTAGATTCCTGTTGAAGATGAAAAAATCAGACATCGATTATCAATACCAATACATAATATCATAATGTTTTAGAGATTAAGTTCACTACAGTGAAAACTTAAATATTCACTTCCAGGTTTTCATTCTGCAGCACTCAAATACAGGAGTTTTATAAACTTAAATTTTAAGATATTATTTTTTTTCTTTGTGGCATTTATATCACTTAGCTTTTTCATATTATATATTTACGTGAATATTTTTAATTGATAGCTATTCAAGTTATGAATATTTATTGCCTCACATATTTTATTTACTGTATTAAAGATAAGTATCTGTTAGTCTATTCATTTAATTAGCAAATCACGAGTCATCTGAACAAATATATTTTTTTTATATATAAATTTTACTATAAGCCTGAATATGGAGTGCACCTATCTAAACCTTTTTTTTTACTAAGTAAATCACTTTTAGGCTTGTAACAAAAGTTGTAAAGCTCATCAAGAAATATCTAATGGTAGCATATAGGCTAATTTGTAAAATTAGCAATAACTTTTAATATACTGATCTATTTTTGATAATTTAACTACCAAAATGTTCATCTTGATGAGATGATTCTAACGAGTCCAAAATCATCAGAATCCAATTACAGGATCCTGAGATCATTCTAAGAATTTTAAAATTGCTTCAAAAATAGACTTTATTGTGAATAACTTTTTGATCCACTAGTCTGTTTTGGATGATTTAACTACCAAAAAGTTCATCTCAATGAGATGATTCTAATGAATATAAAATTATTAAAATCAAATTACAGGATCTCGAGATCGTTAAGAATTAGTGTAAATATAGACAATCAACTGAGAAATGGGTTGCATATATAAATTTATATATGCAACCCATTTCTCAGTTGATTGTCTACATTTACACTGATTCTTAATGATCTCAGGATTCTGTAATCAGATTTTAATAATTTTATATTCATTAGAATCGTCTCATTAAGATGAATATTTTGGTGGTTAAATCATTCAAAACGGACCAGTGGATCAAAAGTTATTCACAATAAAGTCTATTTTTGAAGCAATTTTAAAATTCTTATTAAAATTATACAAAATTTAAATGATCTCAGGATCCTGTGATTGGATTTTGATGATTTTGGACTCGTTAGAATTGTCTCATCAAAATGAATATTTTGGTAGTTGAATCATCGAAAACAGATCAGTAGATCAAAAGTTATTGACTAATTTTACAAATTAGCCCATATAGTAAGAACGTTAAAATCGGCTTGGTAGTTCTTAAGAAATCTTTAAAAAACTTCTTTTTTACATATAAAATTTCTTTAAAAAAAATTGATTTTTTTTAAAGAAATTTTATATGTAAAAAAGAAGTTTTTTAAAGATTTCTCAAAAACTACTAAGCCAATTTTAATATTCTTACTACTATTAAATGCTTCTTGATGAGCTTTACAACTTTTGTTACAAGCCTAAGAGTGATTAACTTAGTAAAAAAAAGTTTTAGATAGGCGTGCTTCACATTCAGGCTTATAGTAAAATTTATATATAAAAAAAAATATTTGTTCAAATGACTCGTGATTTGCCAATTAAAATAAATTCAGATTTTAAATATTTATTATATTTATTGTACTTATTTTTTCGTATTATTTAGTGAATAAATTTAATTAAAATTGATAATCGATGTGCTATTTTAGTTTATAAATATTTACCATTTTACTATTATACCCAGATTGGGAGCTAGTCAATATCCCGATAGTACTATAACCCAAAGTATGAAATTCTGAAAGAATATTCTGACAATTCATTAATCTAAAAACTAAATTCTAATCATGAAGAATCACATATCCATAAATATATTATTCTAATGCAATAATCTTAAAACCCTATATTAGAGTAAGGGTAGGTATTAGCAGCATTATAGTTATTTGACATACAACATTCAGGATTATGTATTTACAAGATCGTGATTCTTCAGGATTATAATTATCTAGTTTTTTTTTCAGGATTTAGCTTTCAGATTAATGAATTGTTAGAATTCTTTCAGAATTTTATACTTTGGGATATACAGTAGTACTATTGAGATTTAGAGCTTTGGAAATTTATATCAAACCCAATTGAAATCATCTTAATTCCGAATCAGAACAGCTCTCAGGTAAGAATTTCGTAATTTTGGCCAAAATTATACAAACTAAAATTTAAATTTTTTATTCTAAATTCAATTTTAACTCTAATACCAATCCAAAAGTTCTAATTTTGCTAAAATAGTTTTCAAAATTCCTATCTGAAATGAGTTTCTGGTTACATAATGGTCAATGATCTACACCATACCAGATATATGGTGGTAAATAATTCACAGCAGCCACAATAATAATTATCACAATTCAAAAAAAGTACGATAAAGGCTTCGCATATAAAATAAAACAATATATTGTGGGAGTATGTTAATCATCACCATAATATAACCAGACTTTGGAGAGGCAGCTCTGTCAAATTTACCCGATTTTAATAATTTTAAAAATTAGCAAAGATGAATTATTATCTATATATAATATAAAAGTTTATATAAATATAAAGGCATTAGTTTACAAATCAGTTGAGATAGTGAATATTAAAAAAAAATATCAGGTTGAGTATTATCTTTATAGAATTAAAATGCTTTATAATTAGAACGTAAAGAATTTGTAAAGATAATTTATTTGATAACTTAATAAACATGTTCTAGTTATTTATATTACTTCTAAAATAATTAATATTTTATAATACTAGTATTTGTTTTTTATATAGAATAAATATTTATATTGCCCCTGTTATATGACCTTTTTGTCACGGGTCATGTGCAACATATAAAAAATATAAGCAGTGATTTTCCATGCTGATCATTGTTTATTTTCTTTTTTTTGTTTTAGCCTGTGTAGACGTTTTACTAACTCTATTTATTTTCCTTTTTCAGACTTATAGATCATAAGTCATTTCTGGTATCATCGTTATTGGAGCGTTGTTATTCGAATTGTTCTTGGATCATCATTACTAGAATCGCGGTATTGAAATCATCTTTACAGGTGTCATTCTTAGATCATTGTTAGAGCTTTGGAGTTACCGTTACTAGAGCTATTGTTACTGGAGTTGTGCTACTAGAATGCTGTTAGTAGAATGGAGTCGTGTTACTAGAGTCACTATTAGTGGAATTAAGTTGCATTTCTTGTTTCTTGCTGTAGTATTGCTGTTACAATATTGTTACTGGTGGTTTCTATTGTCTTTGGCGTGATTAACTGAATTTTTTTTTTCAGATAGCTAGTTCATAGAACTGTTGTTTCTGAGGTCGCTTAAAGCCAGGTACATCATGGAGTTACCCGATATATTACCCAGATCAGCCCAAACAAAACAAAGTGAGATGACAAAGAAAAAAACACAAAAAATATAAAAAGCTGCCATCTAAACCAGTCTTGGTTTACTAAGTAAAAGTGTCGGAAATGCGATTTTACTATAAGAATTATTTAATCTAACTTTAAGGGTAGAGTATACGTAGATCATTTATCATATGATCTGCATGGCAAATTTTTTTTGTATAACAAATTACGTAGTAAACAAATCTAATTGGGTAATT